AAGCGTACAAAGCACGTGGGAAAACGCACAAGCAGGGAACTGCAGGAAGAACTGCCAGAAGAGACGAAACCCAAATTGGTCAAGAAAAAAATGTCAAATAAAACATAGGATGAATGCACTATGGTGCACGTTATTTTTTCAGTAGTCCTATGGAGGGAAATGTGTATTGCTCTAATGACATATGTTAGAGTTAAGATATTACAAATCCTCAGCCTCCAACATCTTGACCTGTTACAGCAAAATCCAGCAGTGATGATCAGCCTACGTGTCCACAGTAACAAGGTTTCAAAAGGGTGCAGATGAGAAGATATCTCCGGAAGGAACAAGATGATCATCATTAGCAGCTTGATTTTAATACTGTTAAGTAATAATGACAACTGTCTGAGTTGCACTGGTTTGCTCCAAGTCACAATTTAGTGTGGAGCACAAGAAATCATCATATACTGGCTTTAAGAAACAGACATATTCCTAAATTACTGCATCAAATACTAAATGTTCCTCTTAAAAAACTGATTAGCCTTTGCTAGAGTCTGTGTTTTTTAGGATACTAGGACATCCTGTCTCTGCCACTATGGTTTCTAATAAAAGGGTATAATATATCCGAAATGGATATGGAGCCGATTCAAGCTGCAGAAAAAACGGTGAGCTTTCTCAAGCCTCTCAAAACCAGAGCTTGAAGAAATATAAATCTTTATTAATCATCTCAGCAGTAAGCAAAGGAAATAACACTGGACCCAGGGTTAACTTGCCACCCTCACGTGAGGGGCAGGTGCCATTCTGTCAGCTATGAGCACCACTCACACAAACCAACTCCTATCAGTTTCCCCAAGTCTTATGACTTCTCCTTCAGACTGATGTGATCATTTCAAAGTTGCATCTTTCCATTAACTCAACCTTCCATCCCCAATATTAATTATAAACAATGTCAAATCTTGCATTCCCATTGCTAATCAGGTGCATTTGATAGGAACTTAACCCGCAACTAAATTAAAAACCCCTCACCAACCTAGCACCTCGAGTTTATCTCAAGTTTTGCTGTAGAATTCCATGCGTATATTCATATACATACACATATGCATACGTACACAAATATACCTACATACATATATATGAAAACATCTCCAGCTTTTGAAGAACTGCTAGCTCTGCCACACAGCACAGTTACAGACTCAGAGGCTTATTCAGGTCGGAAAGGACCTGAGGAGATCTTTCATCCTGCTCAAAGCAGGGCCAGCTATGAGATCAGACCAGGTTGCTCATGGCTTCATCCAGTAGGGTCTTGAAAACCTCCAAGGATGGAGACTGCACAGCTTCTATGGGTACTTGCTCCGCTGCTTGACTATCCTCCTCACGGACCAGCTTTTCCCGATATCCAGTCTAAATCTCTCTCCTTCCAATTCATGCCCCTTATCCCATGTCCTCCCATCAGGCACCACCATGAAGAGCCTGGTTGTGTCTCCTCCCGGACCTTCCTGGGGCCCGGGGGCTACTGTGGGGTGCCCCGAAGCCATCCCTGCTACAAGCTGCCCAAGCATGGGTCCCTTGGCCTCTTCTCCACAGCAAGTCCTCCAGCCCCGACTGTTATGATGGTCCACCACTGAACTCACTCTGGTTACCAGCATCTCTGCTGCTCTAAGAAAGACGCCCAGAACTGGATGCAATATTCTAGATGTGCTCTAACGTGTGTAGTCTAGAAAGGGGACAGTCGCCCCCCCCTTGATCCCCTGGCTACGCTCCCGCTCATACAGCCCAGAATGCTGCTAGCCTTCTTTGCTGCCAGGACACAGCAGTGGCTCAGGTTCAGCTTGCTTTCTACCAAGCCCCTGGGAGCTTTTTTAGCTATCTCTTTTATAAAATCACGACATAAGCAATGGGAAAATGAAACCCAATTTTTCTTCTTCTTACAAATATGTGTAATCTATTATTAGTACATTAACGGTAAGAGACTTCACAGCATCATTCCACAGGTAGCATTGCCAGGGCAAACCATCAGCCTAGGAGTTACAGTCTGATATAGGATGCAAGCCAATTACAAAACAAAATGCAAAATCTAGTATTCTAATTTAAAATTTTCTCTAAGGAAAAGCTGCTCCCATAAATTTACAATCAAAAGTCCTTTCTTTTCTTTTACTATGTACAGAAATAAAAGTTTCCTTTTGAACAAGAACCTTTCTCCTTTAGAGAAAATCTTTCAGGATATATAGAATTTTCATATATAATGAGAATGTAAGAGGTATCCTGACAGTTTATATTTCCATTTCATTTTCTTTAATTTCTTGCCTACAACCACATTACTTTTATTTTTTAATCATAACAACACAATCTCCTTTGAAAGCTTTGCTAAAACATTCTACTTAATTTTGGTAGTAAATTTATCAATTCATTTCTCTTTCTGTTTCTTACACCTCCACACATGGCCAGTATGTTTGGATATCTACTGACAAAGTCAAGAAAAAAAAAATCAGTTTCTATTTTTGCACTAGTTTTAACAGAACTAAAGTTCTCCTTTCAGCCCCAGCACCCAAGATGGACTTCGGATGAAGTCTGCTGGGGACCATATGAAACTTTGAAGACTTGGGTAAAGACGAGAGCCTGTAAGGGAAGTATCTGAGGTTTAAGGCAGGCTGGCTGAGGGTCTCTGGCACGCTCTTTAGTCAACCGGCCGGCCGCTCCTTTATCTACCTGACAGTGGCTGCCCCTGGAGAAGCTGGCGTGCTCCTAGGGATGTGCAACATGTCTTGCTTTGCAGAGTAAAGGAAAGCTGCTCAAAGCTGTAAAGGAAGGACAGGCTTTCAACTAAAAGCTGTTTGCACAGTTTACTTCACTTCTGTAACTACACAGTACTTGCTAATTGCCCAGGCTAGGATGTTTAAACAAGGGCTGGTCTCCCACACACTGTCTCTTGTTCATGGCTAATCCTGCAGTGAGGTCAAATAACACTAGCTGTGAGTCACCACAGCCATTTCCAAGGCAATTGGCTGAATGTACAATGTAAACACATGATTACAGATGCGCTGTAGAGTTCAGGAAGGAGGAGGAGGAGGAAGAGCCGAGTTGAAAGAAGTCATGCTCTTATTAAAATAGGAAAAGTTAGTGCGAAACAGCACCTGGAAATTTTTTACATCTGTCTCATCGAATAGCATGATAAAACAATTGTTTTCTTCCACTTGCTTCATCCCACAGCCCCCTTCACCATCAAATTCTTTTTTTTCCTGACATAGTATCTCCAAAATGAAGTACGAACACAGAAGATGGTGCGACCAAAACGGTTGTTTTAAAACACACATAAAGTAGATGCAACCCCTTCCCTTATATTGCAGCTCTGGACAGTACTAGCTGACTGTCAAGAATGGGACGTTTCCTTGAGGTCCTGTTAAATCTGTCCCTGATATAAGCTGCATTTTGGGACAGGAGCCATCTCTGTGTAGCATCTCACTCGACAAAGTCATGAATCAAAATAAAACACCCATTAAAAACAAAGGAACAACAGAGGGTCATTATCTGCTTTCCCTTTGAATGGGAAGCGGAGTCAGACACCTGATTGCAACCCATATTGGCAAGGAGAGACAGAGGGAGCCCACCCTAGTGACCTAGGTTTGCTTGGGATCAGCAGGACAGATAAAGCCAGGCTCACCCCCCCCACCACAGCGGGTCCAGGCGTCACAGCCCATGTCTCTGCCCGAGGGGCGCCCAGCGCTGCGCAGAGGATGTTAGGCTAAGCAATGGTAGGAAAGCATTACTCTTGCACGGAAATCCCATGAAGTGCGCCAGTTCCTTAACAGGCTGAGAGGGAACACAGAAGCTTTTCAGTTCCTTTCTTGGCAGTTCAGTCATTCAGGTCCCGCAAGGGAGATGAAGTCATCGCAGCCGATGCTGTCAGAGTTGCTGTGTGCCCCGCGCGCATGACACAAAAGCAGGCTAAGAGTTACCAGCTCACCCTGTCTTCTGGGAGAAAAAAAAATCACTACTTTAATTGATTGTGCTGGGTTCCAGTAATCAGGAACTGTGAAAAGACTTCTCTTCCCAAGTAATTTTAACAACCCTAACAGCATAAAAGAGACGGAAGTGAGCAAATAAGATGGCCAACTTTCAGCCACTAATCACTGGGAGGAAGCACCATATTTCATTAGCAAGTTCTTCAGCCCAAATTGTATTTAACACACATCTCTCATAAAACAATAGCTACCAGAAACAGATTAAAAAAAAAAAAACAAGAAATACACTCAACCACATAAGCTATACTGTATATAGTGAAAGTGTCAGACATTTTTCTCACACTAGTATCAATGTGCTGCATAGCAACAAGTCAGAATGAAAGGTTAATGGTAAGGAACGCAGTCTGGAACATGTTCATTCCCACGGTCCTGAAGTCACCAAAGGAAAATGCTGTGTAGATTTTCTTCCCTTTTGTTTTGCTAACTGCACAAAGCCTTAAAAAGAGTGGTGGGCTTTAACGTGAAAAATCAGCCTGTCTGAACTCTCTTTGCTAGGGGGAAGTCACTAAATAGCACACGTTATTTCTTCTGCAAGAGTTTCAGAAACTCTATTACTTCTCTGAACTGCATGACACGGTTAAGGGGCAAAGAGGCTGTATTTCAACAGTGCTATAATAACGAACTTCTCCTCAAGTTAAAGACATAGAACTTACCAGGCTGGACATCGCTTGAACAGCAGCATCTCTAACCTTGCAAACATGTCTTCTGTTATCTAGCTTGTATTTAGAAACTTTTTACTGTGTGCAAATATAACTTTTTATTTTCTACCATAGAATTCGATACATACATATTAAATAATTGTTATTTCATAGTCATATAATTCTGGCAAAATCAAGTGAGGGACTTTTAAAAGGCAAAAGCAGTCATCCCAACGGCACGTTCTTTTCTCAGTGGATGTGCAAATGAGAAAAAAAATGACCAAAGCAGCACTACATTTAAGTCTACTTGGATTAACCGTATTTTATACGTTACTACACTGTTTTGCAAAGAAAAGTAAGAGTTTACCAGGAGCAATTGTCTCCAAACTCTCCGGATTAATCTTTCTAGTGCTTGTGCAGTGTTGGACAGTTGAGCCAGTAAACACCAAGTAAAAAACTACATCATCTTCAACTTTATCTTCCTCAGTCAGCTGCACTGTAATAACACAGTCACCCTAGGAAAAAGGACAATAACAAAAGGTTAGCTTACATTTGCAAGAACTGCATTATATAAAACAAAACTTCTCTGCCTCCAAGGTTCCTGCTTCCTGTTCATACACTCCTTTCACATGACTTGGGGCGCATTCTCATCTTCAGACATGCAAGTCCTCATCAGCACCCTTCTTAGCCAGATTATATGTGAAGCATTATAGCCAGCGCACCATCTAGGAAGTATGATGAGCACAGCTCTGGGAAGAGATACCTGGAAGTCGCAAGGACAAATTTAAAACAACAACTTAATGTGGTGAAATCATGATAGCGCCTAACATTTCACTGAACACATGAACACGCATCCATACATAATTTTATATACACACACACATATATATACCCCCCACGTATATATAGCTAACACAATAGAGCAGGGATAAGCAACCTAAAATTGTTTCCGTCTTCAGCCATTTGAACAAGCCAACTCCTTATTAACTTCTTGTTTGAACATTCACCTTTTCCTCTGCCAAGCTAACTATTAAGTTCATAGTTTAAGTGCACCTAATTTAATTACTGAACACATCTCTCATCCTCAATCTCCAAACCCACAAAGTCAAGAAAGGTTCATCTCCACTGAGATTTTCTTCAGCTTCCAAGAGAAAAAACGTGGACAACTAGGACATCAGCAGACTGCAACACCAGGCAACAGAGCTATGTGCTATAGGGACTGACAACTCCAAAAATCGCCAAGGGCAACACTACTGTAAATTCATACTGTTTAGACCTGCATATGAGATAAATAGGCTACCTTCTACTAGAATTGAAATTTGACTTCCCTTTCACCTTGAGAGCTATGCACTCACATGCACGTACAGTATTACGCTCAGCATTATCCCTTTAGAGTGCAACTATGGTTTCCCAAACCATCACAACGCAAACACGTTCACATCCTCGCTGCACGAGCAGCAGCAGCTCTTCTCACTTAGTGCTCTGGAAGATCATACCTCGATGAAAAGCCTCGTACAGATCAAAACCAGTAGCTTTTAAACACCTGCCTGTGAGAAGAGAAATCTGCCATTTATCTTCTGTTGGCTGAACACTCATACTTAGTTTTAGGAAGCTTTATTACAATATCTTAGGGATTTAGAACAGTGGTGAGCAAGAAGGAGGTGCATAGTAGACACAGGGTTATCACAGGTAACCCAGGACTTCGTACAGTAAACACAGCAGCAATCCATACACCTGCACGTACAGCAGCATCCCCCAACTTAGACCTCTCAGGGGGAAGGCAAGGAAGATGCTTTGCAGGTACAGCTGCACTAAGGGAAGATGTTCATTTGCTCTTGCTACCCATCATTTATCTGCCTGAAGAAGAATTACATAAGCTACAAGACACTGAGAACAACAGACTATGTGAAGTGACCTTCTTCTGCTCCTTTTCTATCAAGATCAAAACCAGTTGGATGTCCCAGTTTTGTACTGCAGCTGCATTCATCAACTCCCTGCCACCACTCCACTGAGCACATGGTTAATGCTAAAAATCTGGAAATCTTTTTTTTTTTTTTGGTGGATTATGTAATTCTGATTTGCAAATCCAATAAAATAACCATGTCATTTCATTTAAAACCTGCTCCTTAAGATCGTCCTCAGTTTATTCTCTCACTTTGTCAAACGCAGCTATTGAAGAGAAATCTTAGGACTTCCAAGTCCTCCACACACTAATGCCATGCTAGCATCCTTTCCCACGCTCCATTTCAAGCCTCCCCCTGTTCTCCATAGAATCCTTCATTTCAGCACAGTTCCCATCTTTGAGTTCACGTCTTGTTCTCCCCCTCTTTCACTTGCCCCATCCCCCTGCTTGGAACCTCAGCACGCTCCCAGCAGCCAAGGGATGACCTTCTGCCAGGCCGGAGGCAGCTGGACTTTGGCTGCCCCACATGTCTCCCACCCACCACTTTTGGGGGGACTGAGCTCCCTTCTGGTGCCCTTGGCTTTAAGGAAGTCTTCCAGCACTCCAGGACCCCAGTTCAGCCCATCTGTCTTGCAGACGCCCCTCACACAGAAAACTAATGCTACTTTAACATGTGCAATCCTGTCCAAAAATTCAGAAGGGAACACAGCAGAGAGCATGCCAGCCACGACTAACTTTTACATGAGAAATTTGATCTGGTCTGTCTGGTACCACTTGCCAGGGATAGAGTTGCACGGACTACGGTTTTTGATAGAAATAAGGTTTTTCAGCACAGTACACACCCAGCCTTCAGTCTTTAAAAAAAAAAAAAATCAGTCTTATAATACAAAAAAAAAAAGCGCCATCAATTAAAAAGAGAAAAATGAAGCAGAGAGTCTATTTTACATTTCCACAGACTGCACAGATACAAATATAAGTTTAAGAAAGTTGTCCCATACTATTAGACCAGACTTCCAGCTGCGGATAAAGGAACTATGTAGCAAAAGTATATATTGTGTACACTCAGTGCTAAAATAAAAACAGGTGCAAAAAAAGAAAAAAAAAATCAAGCTTTAAATTCAAGTATGACCAGTTCACATGCTGAGCTGAAAACTAAATATTAAATTCCAAGTAAATGGAACCAGTTTTGAGCGGATGTTCAAAAAGCAAAGCTAAGTTTTAACTTACAAACCTTTGTGCTTTGATTCTTTTTTATCTGTTTTTGTTCGAACTATTCCTCCCTTAAGGCATCAACATACAAAATACTTAAACCGATTTAAAATGCAGATGACATTTAAGACTGTGCATCAGCAGAGCTGATTGTTTAAAGTAGTATCAGTTAAAGGAATCCTTTCTTTTTTTTTAAACTCAGAATTTAAGTACAGGTAGTCCGATTCCTGTGGAAGTAAGTCTGCAGCATACATTTGAGAAGACATCTGTCTGCACACGTGGACTAGTCCCTTGCCAGTATAACGTTTGATTTCATGGAAAAACAACTTAATTTTCAGTACTGTTGCAAAAGTTAATGTATATATGACTCTACTAAACACAAAAAAGCAGAATAAAAACGATAATACAATGTGCTGCCTGTGTAAGCACATGTAAGCACCCTCCACACCAGAGCTTCCACATAACTTGAGATCTTTCTAAACTAGGGCTTAAAAACACAGCTGAACTTCCAATGCAGGTAACATGACCATAAGGCTCTGAGCAACCAGTCTAATTTTGAGGATGGGCCTGTTTTGTGGGGTTAGTTAGACCAGATGACGTCTAGCAGTCGCCTACAACCAAAATTATTCTGTTCGTATTTTACAGGTTAGCTCTATTCAGTTTACTACATGTTTAAGTCTCAGGGAAATGCAAATTATCACCAGCTGATACCTATCTCAAAGGCTCTTCAGCTACATCTTCATAGCTCTTAATGGAGAGACAGTTCACCAGCACCCAAAGGAGTGAATCCTTACTATGACAGTTGAGCGTGATTTTTTTTAAGGTAAAATTTGATGCTGTCTTTATACATCATTAGCAAGACAAAGAAGGTACTACTTATTTAATTACTATACGTTTCAGTTTATTTACAGGTATCTCCCGAGCTAGCTCTTGTCTGTACCACGCGTGGTGCAACTCACTGCATGAAGTGATCTGAGATCCCAGAACGAAAGGAACTACAACAAAGCAGTAAATAAGAAGGGTATTGCTCCTTCAGTGCACAGCTTTACTCCCCAGTCATTAACAACTTTGCTGTCCACTGCCAATTTTAATTTAAAAAGTAAAAAAGTTCTGTTGAAACAATGTATCTATTTGAAAAGGAAATAACGTACAGAAGAAACCTCTCTCTCAAATATTTTCGGAGTCTAAGAAAATTAGTTGCAAACGCAGCCAAATTCCTTCAACCCACATAGAAGAGTTTTCAACAGCACTATTGCAACTCAGCCTCCAAAAACGTTTTAATTGAAGTATGTTTACCTTTATTCATTTAATATTATCCAAAATATGTCATCTGTTCAGTATCACTGCCACACAAGGTGGTTATTATAACCCCTCTTTCATCCTGATGGCTAGAAATGGAAGGCTAGTCTGCCAATATCCCCTCGGTGAAAGTACAGATAGATCAAAGCAATTCTCTGGAATGCTCCAACAAATAAGAATAATTTAATTTCAAAACTAGTTTGGATCGACTAATATTTACTTGGCTTAGAGCCCATTGGAAATGAAAACATTCCATTTTTGTCCATTCATGAAAAAGGTCACCTTCATTTTGATCTAAAAAGAAAATCTACGAAAAAGCGTTTCAGATAGCTGTAACATGATGTAAAGAATGTGGATGCTGCTCCTTACTGTAAACACCTTCACCTTCTCCAAGCGGAGGATGAAAACCTAAGATCTGCCTCATGAAGTGATTAATGCATTGGAAAAGGCAGGCCTAGTTGCAGGTTTTGAACTACCACACAACAATTCAGAAAGCAATTTTAGTGTGGCACAACTCTGAACTCTTGGCTTAGTTAAGGCAGCATAAATGCAGTTATTGCTTTAAAAAACAAAAGCAGAGAAAGACAAGCCACCCGCTCTGGCAGCATTCGGACACTGTTCCATTTGAGGTGCTCGCTTTTCAACTGCTACGGTTACAAACTGCATACATAAATTGCATGCAGAAAAAGTACAAGCAACTGTGAGTAATCATTTCTTCTTTCTGAGACTTGGTCCCTGTGTCCATAAAGGTGAAAGGCTTGCCTTCAAAGGATTTTTAGAGGTGACTTTACCGATATTTGCAAACGACAATGATGCTAACAGAATTTTTATACTCAAAAGAATCAAGATCACTTATACTATTTATTAGTTCAAAAACAACATTCATCTTCTAAAATGTAATAATTGTTTTATGCTTGAAAAGACGTCTTTCCTTCTCCCTTCAGCCTCTGGAAATCTGTGTTATGAGAAATCAGTCATGCAGAATCCTGTATAAGGGGATCACCAGGACGGCCCTTGCAAATCCACGCATTCAAGACCCTGGTTGAGAAACGCGAGTTTCGCTGGCAAGGTTAAGTTCTCCCTGGGGAATATCCGTTCTACCAG